TCTAGATGGCCTCTTGCAAGCTTTTAAGACCCCAGTCACTGCTTACCAAAGTAGGATGTAGAACAATGTTTTTAAGTAGTATGTTGTTATGCCAGTTGACCTTGATGTCCCCTGCAACCATGGTCCCAAGCCCACAAGTCCAACTACTCGCTCCCTCTGGGTAGCTGGCTATGGCCAGGAAGCCACCACAACCTTGCCCCTTGTCAGCTCTAATATAAACCTGGACATTTTACAGCACCTACAAGTACGATATAGAAACATCATCTCCTAACTCTATACGTAGTCATGGGCACACTGCCCCCTGCCTAGACATAACCTGCTCATTCAGCCTGTTTACCCATCTAGACTTCTAGCCTCTTAAACTGTGAGAAAATCAACTTTTTGTTAAATCCACTCATCTAGGTATTTCTATTACAGCAGCATTAGATAACTAAGACAGAACTTGATACCAGAAGAGTGGGGTGCTGCTTGGAATTGGGTAAATGGGTAGAGGCTGGAAGAGTTTTAACCTAACTCTTCTAGTAAAAGCCTAGATTGCCTTGAAGAGACTCTTGGTAAAATTTTGGACAGCAGAGGCAATTCTGGTGAGGGCTCAGAAGGAAATATGGAGAGATATAGAGACAGTCTTTTTCATCTTAGGAAATACATATAATGTTTGCAACAGAACGTTGCTAGAAATATGGATGTAAAACGTGTTTCTGGTGAGGTTTGAAAAGAAAATGAATTTGTGATTGGACAATGGAGGAAGGATGATAATTTTTATGCAGTGGCAAAGAACTTGTCTGAATTATGTTCAAATGTTTGGTGGAAGGTAGAACTTGTAGGTGATGAACTTGGATATCTGGCTGATGAGATTTCTAAGCAAGATCTTAAAGGGGCCATGTGGTTTCTTTTTACTGCTTGTAGTAAAATGTGAGAGGAAAGAGACAAACTTAAAAATGAACTGTGCAAAATGAAAACAAAACTTAAAAGATTTGGAAAATTTTGTTGTATAGACTAACAACACATGTCCTAGAATATTCACCAAGGACATGGCTACACAATCTTTTATTAAAAACATAAGCTTGTGACTGACTGATGGATCTAACCAGCCACCACAGCAAACTCATCAACTTGGACTGAAGGGTTCAAAGACAAGATGAAAGAAAAGAAAACCATCTGCCTCTTGGAATTCTACAAGCAAGAAAGAAAAGGACCATTCCTGGAGCAGCTTGGAGATAGTTGGAAGGAGCACAGGAAGCAAGGTCTGCTCTGTTTCAAAGGATGGGGCCATAGCCTCTTAGGTATCAAAGAGGATCTTTGCCAACCAGCTCGGTTCTGGGAGTGTGGGGCTGCTGTTAAAGTGTGACAGAGGGATGGGGCCCATGGCCCAAAGGTAAGGGGGTGGGGCATCCATGTCCAAAGGACAGAAGAACAGGACCAAGAGGATGAGGTCACCACTCAGATGCTGGGGGAATGGGACCACCCAAAGCCCAGGAAGCAGAGTTGCAGTCCTAGTGGGACTCAGAGGTGAAGCTGAAGCCTAGGGCTAAGAGACATCCACCCAGAATTCAGAGGGTGTGACCAACATCCACAGTCTGGAGGGCAGGGCCATTGCCCAGATGGTCTTAGAGAACAGAGAATTATTTTCTAGCCTTGAGAGCTAATGTAAATTGTTCTGCTGAGTTTTGGACTTGCTTGGTGTGCCTGTTACCTCTTCTTTCCCTCCAATTTCTTCCGTTTGCAATGGAAATGTCTACCTTGTACCTGTCCACCATTGTATTTAGAAACAGATAATTTGTAGTCTAGATTTCATAGGTTCAAACCCACCAGCCACTCCTCGGAAGGAAGGTTGGGCAATCTACTTCTGTAGTGATACTGTCTCAGAAACCCAAGGAGGGGTCGCTATGAGTCAGATCCAACTCGAGGGCACATAACAGCAACAACAACAGATTTTATACGTTCAAAGATGATGAGGAATTTTGCCCCAGGATGGAATACTCTTAAAGTCTCACCTATATTTGATTTAGATGATGCAGAAAATGAGATTTTAAACTTGGAGTTGTTTTAAGACTTTTGAGATGATGTGATGGGGTGAATGTGTTTTGCATGTGGCAAGGACATGAATTTTGGAGGGCCAGAAGGTGGAATGTTATGAATTGAATTACATCCCCCCAAAATATGTGTTGTAAATCCTCAGTGCCTGTAGTTATAATCTCATTTGGGAATGGGTTACCTTGATTATGTCAATGAAACAGGATTATTGTAGGGTGTGTTTCGAGTCAGTATCTTTTGAGATATAAAAGAGATTAAACAAGCAGGTCAGTAAAGAGGGATGAGGAAAGGTAGATGCTGAGCCATGTGAAGATCACCCAGGAGCAGAGCCTCAGAAGAGAAAAGGACTTTCCTCCAGAGCTGACAGAAAAAAAACTTGCCCTAGAGCCAGCACCCTGGATTTGAACCTCTGGCCTCCTGAATTGTGAGAAAATAAATTTCTGTTTGTAGCCACCCATTTATGGTATTTCTGTTATGTTGTTGTTAGGTGCCATCAAGTCGGCTCTAAGTCACAGCAGCTCTGTACAACAACAGAACAAAACACTGCCTGGTCTTGCACCAGCCTCACAATCCTTGCTGTACCTGAGCCCATCGTGACAGCCACTGTGTCAGTCTATCTTGTTGAGGATCTTCCCCTTTTTCGCTGACCCTCCACTTTACCACACATGATATCCTTCTCCAGGGAATGGTCCCTTCTGACAACATGACCAAAGTAGGTGAGACGAAGTGTGGCTGTTCTCGCTTCCAAGGAACATTGGGCTGTACTACTTCTAGGTCAGATTTGTTTGTTGTTCTGGCAAAAAAACCAAACCAAACTCACTGCCGTTGAGTTGGATCCAACTCATAGTGACCCCTCCTTGGGTTTCTGAGGCGGTATCACTACGGAAGTAGATTGACCCACCTTCCTCTGTGGTATCGTCGGTATTCTTCACCAATACTGCAGCTCAAGAGCAGCACTAAACCACTAAGAGCTACAGCTGCTGTTACAGCAGCACTAGCTAACTGAGACAACTGGGAAGACAAAGTGACACGTGTGCCACAGCAGGAATGCATAGGAAAGTACATCCTGTTCTCTCAGTAGAAGTGGGATTAGAAAAAGACTGTGGAGGTACATACGCAGAGATCAGATTATAAAAAAATCTTTCATGCTATTAAGGAGTTTACATTTAGGAAACAGATGCTAAAGTGAAAAGAATTCATTCAACAAATGATTATTGACCAAATAAATGAGTGGCTACTGTGTGCTAAGTGATGGGGATATAGCTGTGAGTGAAACAGAACAGTTCCTGTCTTTGTGGAGTTTACATTCTAATGGGGAGATAATCAAGATGAAGACCTTGCAGGCTGTTTTAATGCTTTTGGCTTTTAATCATAATGAGATGGAAGGTTTTTGAGAAATACATAACGTCATTTGACTTACTCACGCTATTTTGAAAATAAACTAAAGGGACAATGATGAATGCAGAGAGATAATTAAGAAACAATTGCAGTAATCTAGGCAAGAGTAATCTAGGCAAAATGGTGATATAGAACAGGGTCATTACAGTGGAAAGCTAAAAAGTGATCAAATTCTGGATAATTTGAAGGTAGAGCTGAAAAGTATTTGCTGACAGGCTTGATCTGCAGTTTGAGAGAGGATAGCTCTAAGACTTTCAGTCTGAACAACTAACTAAAAGAATGGAATTTATATTTAAGAGATAGCAAAACTACAGAAGATGATATGAGAAGCTCACTGTTATACCTGTTAAGTTTGAGATTTCTAGACCAATATTGCAGCCAAATAAGAGGAGGAAAAGCAAGAGAATGTTCTGTTGTGGAAGGCAAGTGAAGAAAGTGTTTCACTGTGCCAAATGCTGTGGTGAGATCCAGTAAGATGAGGATTGACTGAGTATTCACCAATGCAGAGTCGTTGGTGACCTTTACAAGAGCAGTCAGAGTGGATTCAAGGACAATGAAAATGGAAGTATGGACACTGCTTGAGATTTCCATAAAGAGAAGGAAAGAAATGGGAAGTAGTTGGAGGAGTAAGTGGGATTGAGAAAGGATTTTCCTTAAGAAGGGAGAAATGATAGTATGTGTCATGCTGACACTTAGAGGAAAACACTAACAATGCAGGGGAAGGAAGAGGAGCTGGTGGGGCAACACCTTTGTTAGAGACTTCCATGCTAGGAACACAGCCATGTTGTCAAGGCCACAGGAGAGAGGATAGAGTTTTAGGCACAGATGGAGGTAGTCAAGAGATAATAGTGGTGTGGAGCAGGGTTCCCAGGGTAAGGAGCAGGATCTTTACGAGCCTGGAATGGCATTCCATGTAAGACAACAGCTTCTGGAAGAGCCTGGAAGCATAAAAGGGCACAGACAAGGAATTTTGAATAGTTTAATGTGAAATCTAAATGTATTTTTAAAATATTTAATTCATTTAATAATTTTTTGTTCCTTTGCTTTTTAAAACTCTGATCAATGTTTAGTTCTCCTTGGGTTCAAAAAAAAAAGTGAAGTATGCTTCTATTTAATTGTTTGTGTGTGTCCTTCAGCTAACTTTTATAAAACCAAAACCAAACATACTGCCGTCGAGTTGGATCCGACTCATAGCAACCCCTCCTTGGGTTTCTGAAGCAGTATCACTACAGAAGTAGATTGCCCAACCTTCCTTCCGAGGAGTGGCTGGTGGGTTTGAACCACCAGCCTTTTGGTTAGCAGTCAAGTGCCTTAGGCACTACGCCGCCAGAGCTCCCAACTTTTATTTTTATACACACACACATACATACATACCATAAGGGCTTGTAAATGAAACAGATTTTGAGACTGCTGAAGGGCTTAAAATGAGGAAGTAGGCAGCAGTATTATCTACAGTATTGTTTTAATGTGCTCCCATGCCTCTCTGCCAATCATACAAGTGTTTGATGAAAAGTCCTCCTCTTCTCTCATTTACTTGTTTCAGGATGTAAGTCAGAGTGCAGCAAAACATGTCCACCGGACGGACTTCTTGGACAAACCTGTCCACTATTCAGAAGATAGCATTGGGCCTTGGGATCCCAGCCAGTGTAACAGTTGCCTATATCCTGTACCGCAGGTATAGGGAGAGCAGAGGTACGTGAACTCCATGGTTGTGCCTGTGGAGATGTTCAGTCTCGTTGAACTAAAATGAAAACTCTTCCCTTGCCAGATTTGACAATTTGTTGGGGTGTAATTGACTTTTAAACAGCTTACCAGAGGGAATGCCCATGTTCTGGTCTTGCAGGGCCATCCAGCTCTCACCAAGATGCTACGTCTCCTTGTCATTATGGTTGAAATCCTCAGTTTATCTCCTGGTTCAGTGTCTCTTTGACAGGCAGATTGGGGCAGGGCTGGTAGTAGCTTTGGGTGTTATCTAACTCTGCTCTGATGTTCCATGATCTGTGCAGAAGAGCGGCTGACATTTGTTGGGGAGGATGACATCGAGGTAGAGATGCGCATTCCCCAGGAGTCGGTGAAGCTGATCATTGGCCGGCAAGGAGCCAATATTAAACAGGTAGGTGTGTAAAGAGGCAATTGGCTTTCCCAGGGATTGATTTATTGATTGATTTCTCATCTTCCTTCCTCTGCCCCTACCCCACAAAATACATCCACCATCTGTATATTTTAAAAAGAAAAAGCACAAGAACTTTTTAGCAAGGTATGTTGTTTTCCTTCTAGAGATAACTGCCTCTCCCTGGAGTGTGAATGACTTAGGTTGAAATAATGCTTTTGATTGGGTGGTTCTCAGCTTGATACAGCTGGAACCATTCTTTCCTACTATGGAATTAATGAACTCTTGTTAATTGACAGTAAATATCGAAAAGTGTCTGTGGTTCTTCTTACTATATTCCACTATTTAGTTGGAATGTCAAGAAAACAAAATATTTGGGTCTCTAATCCAGATAAAATTGGGAGGAAAGGAGTTCTAAACTGTTTTGAATTAACTGCCATTTGGGATTACTTTGTCACCAAGCTCCTTCCGTAAGTACTGACTGTAGCATCCCGATTGAATTTAAACTTGTGGCCAACTCCATCTGTCTAGTTTAGTATTCATTAGCTGGACCCAAATTGGAAGCCCTCCAGAACGTCCACATATCCTTTTCTCTGCAGTTGCGGAAGCAGACAGGCGCTCGGATTGATGTGGACACGGAGGATATAGGCGATGAGCGGGTGCTGCTCATCAGTGGTTTTCCTGTTCAGGTGTGCAAGGCCAAAGCTGCCATCCATCAGATCCTGAGAGAGAATAAACCAGTGTCTGAGCAGCTCTCAGTTCCCCAGAGATCTGTGGGCAGAATCATAGGTATCACTGGACGGCTTCCTCTCCTGTTTCCTTTATTCTTGACCTGTCCTTTCATACCTTCTCAAGAGCTTTTCCTGACCTACTTCCCCTTTGCCTTGCTAAGAAAGAGAAGGCAGGCATATTGAGACCAGAATTTTGTTTTTTTTATAAAGCCATTAGTAAAATAAAGCCCATTGTCTCAAGAAAATCTGAAATTTACAGATTTCAGAAAGGTTCAGGTAAATGTATTTACCTCATAATACATTATTAAAGGGAAGCTAAGGATATCAAGGAATAGAAATGACATAAAGAAGTTAACCTAAGTAAAGTGTAGAATTTAAGTAAAATGGAAAAAGCAAATAATCTAGAATTCCCTTCCCTACAGTAAAGATTACAGTAGGTCCTGGTTTCCATTCAGCATCTTATTTTATTCAGTTTGGTTATAAGAACTGACTCCCTTCTCCCAGTATGTACAAAATAGGGCTTTCTGTAGTAGGGGGGTGGGAAGAAAAGGACAGGTTTTTATGTATTATTCAATGCAGGGAGAGGTGGCGAAACGATTCGTTCTATCTGTAAGGCCTCTGGAGCCAAAATTACCTGTGACAAAGAATCAGAGGGGACATTACTACTATCAAGACTGATACAAATCTCAGGAACACAGAAGGAAGTGGCAACAGCCAAGGCAAGTAGCTGATAGAATTGAATTGTACCTAAAAATGAGAAGAACCCTTTAGAGGCCCTGGGCCAGAAGATCTGACCAGGTAGACATCATCCCTTTTATTTTCCACAGCATTTGATCCTAGAAAAAGTGTCAGAAGATGAAGAACTTCGGAAGAGAATTGCTCATTCTGCAGAAACCAGAGTCCCACGCAAGCACCCAATCAGTGTAAGAAGAGAGGAAATGATGGAGCCAGGTGGAACTGGAGAGCCAGCTTTGTGGAAAAACACCAGTTCTAACTTGGAGCAGGCTCTACCATTGGCTATTCCTCCCCACAAAGGAGGTGGTGACATGGCTGTTTTAGGGCCACAGCAAGAAGAAGGTTTCTGGGGGAAACCTAATGGTGACAGCTTTGAGGAGGAGAAGTCTGGAGCCCAGGCCAGTCCAGAGATGTCCATGTTTGAAAGTATGTAACAAAGAGGGAACCTGTTAGCCATATGAAAGATGGGAACAGTGGCTTAAAACAAACAAACAAAAACCAAACCCTTTGCCAGTGAGTCAATTCTGACTCATAGCAACCTGATATGACAGTGTAGAACTGCCCCATGGAGGTTCCCAGGTTGTAATCTTTACAGAAGCAGACTGTCACATCTTTCTCCAGTGGAGCAGCTGGTGGGTTTGAATCATCAACCTTTCAGTTAGCAGATGAGCACTTAACCACTGTGCCACCAGGGCTCCTTATGACCCTAAATAGGAAATAATAAAAAATAGTTTCTGTTTTCTTGACTAACAAATCTGTCATCTGCTTTTCTGATAATATTTTACTTGTTATGTGCCATCGAGTCAGACCTGACTCATAGCGACCCCTCCTTGGGTTTCCGAGGTGGTATCACTACAGAAGTAGATTGCCCCATCTTCCTTCCGAATATTTTACTTAGTACTTATAAACATAAATAATATTTTTCTAAGTATAAATGAGCTAATGAAAAAGAATGAAATAGAAATAATGCTGACAGAGGAAACTAGTTTGTGAACAGTAATAAATGAAACAATTAAATTCGCATCATAGCCTTTCTCCAAACATATTTATTAAACAAGTTAAAATACTCAGCCTTATTTTTCACTTAAAAATTTTTTTTTTAAATCTGCATTATTCAAAAAGCAAAAAGGCTCTGATTCTCTTCTATGCATAGATGCTGGATGGGCAGGAGAGAGGAGGGTTCCAAGAAGCTCACAGACTTGTCCAGGGTCAGTGAGGAGTCAGTGGTAGGATGAGACCTGGAACAGTCCCACATTTGTTGCTTTCCCCGTAAATTATCTTTCCACTGATCTGTGCTGCAGCTAGCCTATGGAGGATTACATCATCATAGATGGTGATTGACTAGAATACATGACCAAGAATGTAAATTATCTTCTTACTCAGTTACATAGACAGGTACAGAAGATAGCTTAGTACCTTTCTTTAAGGTGGTTGTCTTGTATGATTCACTCCAGTTGTCCCTGTAGCTGTTTTGAAAATGGTAACAGCCACTTGGTATTTGTAAACCCCCTCTCCTGCTCACCCCATGCAGTCTCCTCATTCCAACCAGAGATAATTCTAACGTAGCCATCATCCTTTCCCTGTGTTCAGTCCCCAGTCCTGACTTCAGTTTCCATGCTGATGAGTACCTAGAAGTCTACGTCTCAGCCTCTGAACACCCTAACCACTTCTGGATTCAAATCATTGGCTCCCGCAGCCTGCAGCTGGATAAGCTTGTCAGTGAGATGACCCAGCACTATGAGAACAGTCTGGTGAGCTGCCAGAGGGACAGGGATGGGTTTGATGAAAAGGGAGCACATTTTTTTCCGTTGCGTGATATAATCTCTTCCTCTTCCTATGGGATACCTATTCATTCTTCCTTCCTTCTGCTCTTTGTTGTTTTTCTATTTAAAAAAAAAAAAAAAAAAAAAAGCTCACTGCTTTGGAGTCGGATCTGATTCATAGTGACCCCTCCTTGGGTTTCCGAGGCGGTATCTCTATCGAAGTAGATTGCCCAACCTTCCTTCCGAGGAGTCGCTGGTGGGTTTGAACTGCCAGCCTTCTGGTTAGCAGTCAAGTGCCTTATGCTACCAGAGCTCCCATTTACTAACCTACCCACTCCTAACTCTCCCCACTCCTGACTCCTCCTCCTTACCTATAGCCTGAAGACTTGACTGTGCAGGTAGGAGACATTGTAGCAGCACCTTTACCTACGAATGGATCATGGTATCGTGCCAGAGTCCTTGGCACGTTGGAGAATGGGAACCTGGACCTCTACTTTGTTGACTTTGGAGATAATGGAGATTGCCCACTAAAGGACCTCAGAACTCTCAGGTCAGTGTGAGCAAGGGTGAGAGTCAAACTGGAAGCCCAGTTGTTGACTCCGCCGTGGCCATAGGCTGGTGAGCTGTTGGTGCTCATCACCAGGGGGCCTTGGAAGATAACCCATTTACAGAGAGCCTGCAATTATCTTCTCACATTGGGTTAGTTGGTTCTATTTAAAAGCAAAGAATATAAGAAGGCTTTTGGTTTCTAATTTCACTTTCTTTTTTGATTTTAGGAGTGACTTCCTAAGCCTTCCATTTCAAGCAATAGAATGTAGTCTGGCACAGATCGCCCCCTCAGGTAAATTGATCACACAGCCTGGTGACCCTGCCTCAGAGTAGAATAACTGTCATACAGCATGTATGAGGAGTTCTCACATTCCCAGGAGTTTTGAGTTCTAGGGACTCAAGTGCCTTTCCTTTACCAGCCCTCGGAAGCAGCAGCCAGAAACTTGCCTGGAAGTCAGACCCATTCCAACCAGAGAAGACACAGGTGTCTTCTACAGAAGAAAGGGATAGCTCCATTTTCCCTCCCCTCTCAACACTCTAACCCCCACCCCTCTCAACACTGACTCTTCCTTAGGCCCTCCCCTACAATCTTTTGCTAGGTGAACAGTGGGAAGCGGAGGCTTTGGATGAGTTTGACAGACTCACTCACTGTGCTGACTGGACACCCCTGGTGGCCAAGATCTCTAGCTATGTCCAGACTGGGATCTCAACTTGGCCAAAGATCTACTTATATGATACTAGCAATGGGAAGGTAAGATTGAGCTCACTCGCTCCTCATTATCTCTTCAACATACTCATAGCCTGGTTTACTTTTTCTTTCCCAGGAACTCTGATATTACTCCTCCTTGCTCACTGTCCCACCTGGGGAATGTCTTTAGAGTATCAATCCTAGCTTTTCTGCCCTATTTCCTCAGATTGGCTCTTCCTTACCAAAATAACATCATCTCATTTTTTTTCCTCAGAAACTTGATATTGGGTTAGAATTAGTTCGCAAAGGATATGCAGTTGAGCTTCCTGAAGACGTGGAAGAAAACAGAGCTGTCCCTGACACATTGCAAGAAATGGTGAGTGAGCCATTTAGTCATTTAGGGTGTTTCTTCAGAGCAAGCCTGATGCAGTGAGATGCAGGAGGGCTTCTAGTCATAAAATTATAGAGAGCCTTCCTAGGGATTCTCAGAATTGCTGCACAAATTGCTCAAAGGAGGCATGTGTCCCTCTCAACTCAAAAAACTCCAAACTCACTGCATCAAATCAATTCTTACTCATAATGACCCCCACTGGGTTTCCAAGGCTTTAAGTCCTTATGGAGGAGCTCTGGTAGCATAGTGCCACTTGAACCAGAAGACTGGTGGTTCAAACCCACCAGCCACTCCTCGGAAGGAAAATTGGGCAATCTACTTCAGTAGTGATACTGCCTCGGAAACCCAAGGAGGGGTCGCTATGAGTTGGGTCCAACTTGGCAGCACATAACAACAAGTCCTTATGGAAGCAGACTGCCTCATCTTTCTTCCACGGAGTAGCTGGTGGGTTGAAACCACCAACCTTTTGGTTTGCAGCCAAATTCCTTAACCAGTTCTTGGGCAAAATGACAGGGTGGCCTGCCCTTTCCCACCAGCCAATAATATTCTTTTCTGGTATTTCTTTCCCCTCAGGCTACAGAAACAGATGTCTCTCTAGGCAGCATGCTCAGTGAGACCAAGAAGAGCCCTGAAGAGATAGCACATACCCTGTCCTGCCTCAGTTTATCAGGTACAACAGCATTTCCTCCCCTCTAACATTTTTGTAAATCAAACTCTCCAAACTTGGGGAGGGTATGGCTGGGTTCTTAGCCAGGTCATTGAGTACCGAGAGGCCTGTTTTCCCCTGGGCTAGAGCAGGACAATGTCTACCTCTCCTCCCTTCTGCTCGTCTGCTCACTAGAAGCTGCCTCTATGTCTGGTGATGATAACCTTGAAGATGACTACATACTCTGAAGTCTGTGCTTCAGCTGGTTCGGCCATCTGCTTTGCTGTGTGAGTGGAGCTATCATCTCTCTCTGTCAACAGTAAAGTAATGAGGGATGACAACAGGGCCCTCTTCCCCATGCTCCATCTTAGTACTACTACTTCACAATTGCCTTTCTGCAGCTTAACTTGCTCTCAGATTGAGCCCTTTCAAGCTTTTTGTGTCCTTTGTGTGTTTATGTCTTTGGCAGGACTTGTCCTAGGAGAGAGGTGTCTAGGATAAAGAGGTCTGTGCAGTCCCTCCTCTTGTTACACATACAGTCTGGCTTGCTGTGGACCATGCATTTTCTACTTCCACTGGACTACCAGAGAGTGTCGAGTACGGGGAGACAAATATATCCCCCTTCTCTGCCCCTCTGTCTGCCTCTCCTGCTTCCCCCATGTTTGAGTGCCCTGCTGCGTTACTTCCAGGCTGTGCAGCATTGAGCTTGGCCCCCTCTGCCAGTGATAACGCACATTACTGCTAGGCTGTGTCCTTTTTTAGGCTAGGAAACAGCCAGAGTTTGGTCATTGGAAGTGATGACTCTACAGACATCCGACTCTGGTTAAGGGAAATGTGGAGACTCCAGGACTGCAGTGAGTCCAGCAGAGGCAGAAATCAGCATAATTGTATTAAAAAGCCAAGGGAACTGGGAAGAGTTCCCAGCCCCAAGTGCTAATAGGCTGATGTAGACTTTGGTTAAAATACAAGTACAAAGGAAGAGGGCAGGCTCAGGAAATAGTCTAAATTACTAGTATAGTGTCTGTAATATATGTACATGCATACAAACCCCTATAGAGAAAGAACATAGATGGCTCTGTTTCAATCATCTGGGAATTCTTGGCTAATAAAGTTCTTAAGAAAATGATCTAAAAACCAAATGCTGATTTGATCAAAAGGTGGAAGCAGGCCTTCCAAGTAACATCTCTTCTGAGACTAAAATCTGGTGAAAATAACCAACACCTCAAAAAAGGGCCCAATGACAAAACAAGTGTCTGATGCATGTGTTCACATTCTTTCCCCATAGTTCCTTCCAAAGTCATTAAGAACCAGAACCAGTTGAGTTTTAGGCTGTGTATAAGACCCCACCTGAACTACGTGGAAGAAAAGGCCTGGATTAGGATTCCAAAAATCTGCCTAGCTCTCCACTGTACACGTATTGTGAGACTTCAGATAGCCATTTCCTTACAACCTCTTTCCATTTCTGACAGTATGTTAATCCAATGAGAATGTTGAAGGTACTTTAAATGAGATGGATTGTTTTTTTAAGAGCCAAGCAAGATAAACTGGAAAACTTAAAGTTAGCATATAACTTTTCCTTAAAATCTAGGCATTAGTAGGGTCTGCCTTTATACTACATGGCCACTATATTTTCTCTTAGCTGCAGTAGGTTTTATTTTCTCAGAAAAACCTCAGTACCAAGTTAGCAGAAAATGTGTAGTAAAGGAGTGGCTGTAGCCAGTAGTACATGGAGTCTTGTAGACTCAATGAGGGGCTTCCATTGACATGACATTTCAGGCATGGCTGCCATGAACTGAGCTTACTGAAGCATGCTCTGCCCTGCGATTGGATCTACCGTACAACAGAGTTGTGAGCCCATTTAGTCCCCAGCTCCCTCAGGTCCTTGGGAAGCTGTTATTCTCAGAGATCCTCCTGCTACAAATAATTTATAGGACTTCCTGCTCTAGAAAATGAATAATGTCTCATTCCTAGCTGCAGCTTGTTACCGTACTGTATGTAAAGATCTATTTAATATGACCCTTTGGTCTGGTCAGTTTACCAGAATGACAATTACTTGTCATTATTCCATCACAACTTCTGTTATTCCTGCTCCTGGAGTACTCTCTTTGATACTACCTCTTGTCTGTCTGTTGAAATCTTCCCCTTGAGCCAAAGCCAAGGGATCCATGAAACCTTCCCTAGTTTCCTGTCCATCCAGAGAGGGGAGTTAGCACTTGTTTCCAGTTTGAACTCTGGATGAAAACTTCCCAGCAAGGCTTAGTTTTTTCGAATCCTTAACACTTGGACCTTGCCCTTGGCATGTGTTCAGTAAATGATTATTGAATAAAACAGCTTTAGAGCAGAGGTGAAGGCAAAGGGAACCTAAAACCCTTGGGTGCCTTCCGTCTCTGGCTCAGGTGGTCAGTCATTCAGTGCTTAATCTACAATGAATTCTGCTCTGTAAGGCTTATATTCTGTTTAGCCAACCCCACTGTCCCCCTCAAGAAACAATGAACACTGGAGGATTGCACTACCCTTTATTCCTAGGATGGAGGAAGGTGTTCTGAATCACATCCTGGACTCCTGGTTCCCCTGTCAGGGCTCCCAGCCCCTCACAGAGTAGAAATGAGCATGTTCAGGGAGGTTCACTGGGTGAGTGGCCAAGGTCTCTTTCAAGGGGATACACCATAAAGATGACATTGTCCCAGGGAGGGAGGGCAGGGTGATCTGGTCTGACCACCTCAAAGCCCATGTAGCTGAAGGCCCGCAGTAGGGCACCTGTGAAAGAAGGGAAGAAGAAATTACCGAACACTCTTAGGAGCTCAGTATATCTTTTCCCCTAGAGACTGGAACAGCTGTGGGGGAAGCAGGCATTCAGATGACATGTGCTGGGGTCACACAGACCTAGACTCAGCCTGGCTTTGTAACATTCTACAAGTTAACCCTTCTGAACTTCAGTGTTCTCATTTATAAAATGAGGGTCATAGGACCTCGCGAATTGAAGATTAAGTGAGATGTTTATGAAGTGCTTAACACAATGGTGGCATAGTAAACCATTATTATTTATGAATGGTTTTTGACCATCCTTTGTCTAAAATCCCAAAATATAAACTCCTTAAGAAAGTATGGTTTCTATAATATGCTCCAAGCATCTAGTTGAATATATTTCTGTCTTACTGGCTTTGTGCTTGAAAGATTTGAATCCCCATCTACCCCACCAGCCACATGCCTTGAATATGTTCTGCTATTTCAACAGTGCTCCTTCAGTCTGGTCTCAAATCCTCTTACAGGGGCTTTCTAATAGTCTGGTTGTAACTTTGATGAACAGAATACTGGGTGCCTTAATCCATTTTTTAAAGAATGGGGAGAAAAGAGTCTCCCACAAAGGAAAAGAACCCGTGCGTTGCTTCAACACTGAGGGCGAGGAAAGACAGTTGATCCCGCACCTGTGTCATTCCGATTGTTACAGAAGTTCACAAACACGGAGTTTACGTTGGTCTTCTCCTCCACATACTCCAGTGTTGCGGTCAGACTAGGACCCAGAGAGACAGAAAACGGTTAGTCAACTCAGAATCCAGAAAAACATCTACTTGAAGCAGAAGAAGTTGGTCAGTATTTACTTTCCATCTCAGTAAGGAAATGTAAGTTGCCAAACTAGTTTTGGTAGATTTTTCTCCAAAGCCAAGGGATTGCACACTACTGTACTAACAGCCAAGCCATAAGAGGCATCAGGGGAGTGGAGGGCACTGCTCTATAAAGGCAAACAGCTGGAAGGCATTTCCCATTTTCACCTATGTATGGATTCTCACTTCTGTGTTTCTGAATTAGAGTTCAGTAACCTCCCACAGACTATATTCCTTGAACCATAGACCCTTGTCTGCATGCAGTTGGTTTTCATGTGTCCATCTTCTGAATTAACCCTCACTGGTCAGTATATGAGGAGTTCTGGTGGCATAATAGAGCATTTGGCTGATAACCAAGAGGTTGGTGGTTTGAACCCATCAGCCACTCTGCAGGAGAAAGATGAGACAGTCTGCTTCCATAAAGATTTACAGCCTTAGAAACCCTGTGGGGAAGTTCTACTCTGTCCTATAGGGTCGCTGTGAGTCAGAACTTGATGGCAGTGAGTTTGGTCAGTATGCCCACTACCTGACTGTGACATGATAGAAGAGTGGAATCCCCTCCCCCTTCTCTCCCCATTCTCCCATTCAGGCTCAGTCACCTTTCCCTGTTGCCTTGGTCCAAGGCCCGATATGGGATATCTAGGAAGAGTCGATGGTCACAGAGAAGGCCGTGCCAATGGGCTGAGGTCTGTGGGGTGAGGCGGAAGTGAAAGTCTAACTGCACGGGGTCCTGGTGGAGCAGGGGGTCAGCAGCTAGCACCGTCAGGTTCCCAGCCTGCAAGAGGTCAGGAGTGGAAATGAGAATAATGGTCTCCTGTGCTCATCTAGTCCTCAGAATCAGGTCTCAGGCAGATTTTTGCCTTTCTGTAGAGGTGAGGGGGTGGCCGATGGGAAGCCTGGAATAGTCTTAGATATATATCCCTTAGTCCTGGGACCTATCAGTCATCCCTGTTATGGAGCTCCTGATATCAAACTCAATCTGGAATCAAGTTGATGCAGTATAACTGTCTGCTAACCTCACCCCAGGGATACACTAATGCCTTGGAAGCTTATAAACATTTAAATCAGAGCAATGTTTCCTTTTATTCTTTAAACAAAGGTGTATCATCTGTTCTCACTTGTAACACTTGTCCAGTTTTTTTTTTCCACCATTTTCTCATTTAAAATGTGGAGGTCTCAACCAAGCATGTTATTGTAATAAATTGCAAGGGTAAGTACAGTTAGGAGTTATAGGTTCTGGTCCCAGCTTAGCATCTAAATAACTATGTCCCAGGAGACTTAATACACTATTCTACTTTGCTCCCACTTGCCCTCTCTTCCTATCCTGCTTTTAAACCACCAGCTGTTATGGACTTGGGAATCATGGTGGTGCAGTGGTTAAGCACTTGACTGTTAACCAAAAGGTCAGTAGTTCAAACCCACCAGCCATTCTGTGGAAGAAGGATATGGCAATCTGCCTCTGTAAAGATCATGGCCTTGGGAACTCTATGAGGCAGTTTTGTTCTGTCTTACAGGGTTGCTATGAGTCAGAATTGATTCATTGGTAATGGGTTTGGTTTTGGGTTTGATGAGGCTTTAACTTAAGATCTCTGGACCAGAATCCTCATCTATGAAACAAGTAGCTTTTACCCATGAGCTCCAAGGTCCCACCTAGCTTTAACTTTCTATGATATATTTCCCAACTAGCTACTATCCCTCCTCCACAAGGTATTGTACAGTAAAATCTGGGAAAGCTAGAATCTTTGTAAGGTAGAAACCTGTCAGAAAAGGAAAACTCAAAATACTTTCCACTAATACAGAAGCAATAGAAAAGTGGTAAGATGTTTTATGCCTCTGTCAAAGCGTAAAACGTGTGAGAACTGGAAAAAGAAGGTGGTCCTGTCGAGTTCTGGCTTTCACAGGTTTCACTGTAGAAGCAAGGAGCTTCCCTTGTCCCAGCACCAGCCCACACTCCACTTACCGAATACAGTTCTTTAAGCTGGTTGTTGTCACCCTGATCGGTGCTTCTGTCCACCCGGAGACCTACTGGGGACTCAGGAGCACTGAAGGCAGGAACGGGGCCGGAGTGTCAGGTCCTCCCGTTCCTTGTAAGTGACACTAGTTGGGGAAAAGGCCCAGATTAGTTTATTTCAAGGTCTGAGATGGAGAAAGATTCATAGTTCCACAAACCAAACCCTGATACTGTATCTTTGCTATCTTGAGTAGACCAGCCTGTTTCCATTTTCCCAGGCCCAACAGGTAGTAAAATTCTAAAGAAGTTCCATGCCAATCTTCCACCCTATTTTGCTGTTACCATCTCTTGCCACTTGGGAATTTGTTTCAACATCTTCTATTCTTATATTTGTATAAACTACTACAAGTAAAGATGAAAACAAGTACCTTTTACAACAACAAGGCAGCATCTTCTCCCGGAGGGTGATCCGGTATTTGTAACAGTAAAGGTAGTAGGCGTACGGGGACCAGATTGGATACCGGTAGTTCCGTGTTTTTCCCTTCTTGATATAAGAAAGGGAATAAGCAGAGGGGCGTGACCTGTTACAAGGCAGTTTCTCAGTTCAGTGCCTCCCTGCGGCAAAGTGAGGTTCAGAGGTGAGTGGCAGAGGTTCAGGCAACCTGGTGCAATTATGACCCGGTAGGCACTATGACATGGACAAGGAGCTAGCCTTTAAGTCACTTCAGGACTTCGCTCTGCCGCTCCCCTGTCCCACAGTAGCCACTTAACCACAGCTCGTACTCAACTATGCATGCACTTTACAGCAGTACTAGTGGTTAAAACGTGTACTGGTAAACAGCCCTGCCCAAACACTTGTGTCCACCTCATTTTAGATGTGGGAATTCCCCCCAGTTCCACTTCCCCATAGGCTGTCAGCTAAAGGGCTGGTGTCTGATTCTGCAGGAGGCTTCAAAGGCCAGCAGCATCTGACCTGCTGGGGTTCCCTACCAAAAAAAAAAAAAAAAAAAAACCCCACTGCCATCAAGTCGATTCCAACTCATAGCAACCCTCATTGGGTTTCCAAGGCAGTAAATCTTTATGGAAGTGGATTGTCCAGTCTTGCTTCCACAGAGTGGCTGGTGGGTTTGAACCACCAACCTTCTGGTTAGCAGTCAGATAGCCTTAGGTTCTCTAGGTCCTACCAAAACCAAAAACCAAACCCACTGCCATGGAGTTATTCCAACTCATAGTGACTACCATTAGGTTTCTAAGGCTGTAAATCTTTACAGAAGCAGGTTGCCTCCTTGTCCTCCCACAGAGAAGCTGGTGGGTTTTGAACCACCGACCTTCTGGTTAGCAGCCAAATGCTTACACACTGGGACACTAGAGCTCCTTCCCAGGTCTTACAGTTCTAAATTTGTATCACCATCCACACCCTTACAACTCAGGGGTGCTACAAGTGGTTGAGCTTTCTCTACTGCCTGTCTGGTAGGCATTGCAAACTAAATGCTGCAGGGGCCTGGGCAGCACATGGAAATTAGTGCAGCTGCAGGGTGGGGCTGTAGCAAAATGGAAAGCCCACACTCTGTCTAAAAGCAGACACAACTTGGTGCCATCCAGTTCTTGCTGTGGAAGAATGCAGACTTGGTACCAGATCATGATTTCTCAGCAGAAACTGGAACAACAGTTATTTGTGGTACCTTGCTCCATTTAATACATACACACACACAAGCTACTGATTCAAAAAATAAAAGCTGCTGATAAAAAAAATCGCACCGGAAGAGATTTGGTTCTAGGATCCACCAGTTTGAGATCTCTGCATAATCATTAATTCATCCATCCAACTATTTATTGAGGTCCTTCTATGAGCCAGCGAAGGAAGATGGGGCAATCTACTTCCATAAAGATTTACCATCTTGGAAACACAATGAGGTCGCTATGAGTTGGAATCGACTGGATGGCAGTGAGTCCCCCCCTTCAAACAAGGAGCCAAAGGTCCCTGGGTGGCACAAACTTCTCAGCTACTAGTCTAAAAGTTGGCCATTTGAATGCACCCAGCTGAGTCGAGAAAAAGGCCTGGCAATCCGCTTCTACAAAGATTACAGAACAAAAGTTCCCTGCCCTATGGACCGTCTAACAGTGGGAGAACAAACTAAACCGAGTAAATTATTTAGTATGTTAGAAAATAACTGCTATAAGGAAAAATAGAGCAGGATAAAGGAGGATGAGGAGTGTGAACAGAGTAGGGCAAAGTTGCAGTGATCGGGTGATCCAAGTAGTCCTCATTGGAAAGATGACAGACTTGAAGGAGTAGACCCTCTGTTCATCCCATTTAGATGTATTTCTCGTCAGTACTCAGACTCTCCACAGAGGGAATTTTCTGGGTTTTACTATAGTTTCATCTTCTGAGCTCTGGTGGCACAGTGGTTAAAGCATTCCACTGCTAATCAAAAGGTTGGTTCAGTCCCACCAGCCACTCAGTGGGAAAAAGATGAGGCAGTCTACTTCTTAAAAGATTTACAGCGTTGGAAACTCCATGGAGCAGTTCTACTCTGTTGTATAGGGTCGCTATGAGTCAGAATTAATTCGTTGGCAGTGGGTTTGGTTTTGGTTTGACCATAGTTTCCTCTTCCTGTAACCCTTGTGATTTAGAATTATTCTTTAATTAGCTTAAATACTGCAGTTCAATGACTAAGGTTAGACTCTTTCTCCTAGGCCTGGCATAGCTTTCCAAAGGATCCTACCCTTCCACCACTTTTAGGTAGATTTGCGGCTACCAAAAAAAAAAAAAATGGGAGCAGCCTCCTTCACTCCAGATCCAGCCATTGTACTGGGTCGGAATTGGAAGTGACGTTAGACAACAACTAGCGCTAAACCGAAGCCATTTTAAAGTGAAACCAAGAGGGAGCTATTCTGTTTTCACGTGTCTGTCCATCGAACATTATGGAGCAACTATGTCAGCTCTCTCCGCACCGGCGGTTCCGTGCAACCGCGCTCCAAGCCGTGCCCACGCTTTCCCTCAGCGTAGCCCAGATGACAGCCACGCCAGCTCAGGCGCTCCACGGGCAGCCCCAGCGGGGCCTTTTCTGCCTCCAGGCGCCGAGGTCCTTGTTCACCCTTCCTCCGTACCCGGGAACATGGCTGCGGCTGTGATTGCTGCCCCAGGCAGGGCTTTGCTTCGGGCAGGATCTCAGCAGCTGTTCGGGCCGCGACTTGGAGCAGGCACCCTTGGTCCGGACCGCAACTTCAGCCTCTCTCACAATCGGGTGAGGGCCAGGGCTGGCTTGTAGGGCCCCCCACCCCCGACCCTGGCGTGGCTGTTTCCACCTGAGTGTTAGTCCTAAGAGCGGGTTGAGACTTGTGGGGCCCCGGGAGTGGCAGGCTCTCCTTTAGATGCCCGCGGCCTCAGAAGGGGGCAAGTTACAGTGGAGACTCGCTCACCCTCGCCTCTGTGGTCGCCAGGGCACAGTTATCGTGGAGCGCTGGTGGAAGGTGCCGCTGGCCGGAGAGGGCAAGAAGCCGCGCCTGCATCGGCGACACCGCGTCTATAAGCTGGTGGAGGACACGAAACACCAGCCGAAAGACAACCTCGAGCTCATCCTCACGCAGTCAGTGGAGGGTAAGGCTCTGGAGAGGTACTTCCTAGCTCAGGCTATTCTTGTTTAGCATCAGTTTTTCTCTGCACTTCTCCCTCGGCTGTTTGCCTTGCTTTCTCTATTGTGTAGGAATTATGTTTGTATCTGAGAAAAGGAAGCCTTGAAGAGTGCTGTGATAGTGACATTGGCTTTTTGCAAGGAAAATTAGAACAAGATGCAGCAACAGCCTTAACAGTATTCGGGGAAAAAGGCCACAGACATTGAAGTCCTCTGATGGGACGGTTTCAGTCTGTACAGAGAATATTGAATCTTTAAATTGGGTCCTAAATAAACCAATTAGAAGTCTCTTAAATGCTGTTCCTGGTGAATATGAATTAGCATCTTTTCTAGAAAGAATTATTAGCACTGTCGAGAATAAAAGATACATATTTCTTTGATTACCTCCTTCTCTTTAGGATCTCCTAGATAGTTCTTACCTGTCTCTTGTTTTCACTGGCAGAACTTGGAGTCCGGGGTGACTTGGTCTCAGTAAAGAAATCTGTGGGCCGTAATCGACTCCTTTCGCAAGGACTGGCTGTATATGCATCCCCTGAAAACAGGAAACTGTTTGAAGAGGAGAAATTGGTATGCTCAAAGGAAGGGCAAAAGGACTTGGAAGAATAAGAAAAGATGGATTGTTTAGTTTTGATTTTATATTTAATTTGAAAATAAAGTGGGAACTGGAAGACTAGAATTTCAGAAGCCCTGCCCATGCCCAGTATAGTAAGAGTTTGATATGACTTTCCATGGGCTTTTGTTTTGTTTTTTCACTTTTTTGTTTTCTATCTTGAACTTTCTTTTCTAGCTAAGACAAGAAGGAAAATTAGCGAAGATCCAGACCAAGGCAGGTGAGGCGGTGAGTAGAAACATTTATTGATCACCAACAGGAGTCACCAGCCTCTCTTGAGTCATCCTAATTTCCCCAAAGTCTCCTGATTGCAGACGTAAGAGTCAGGGAAAGAGGACATGTAGTGTCTGCTATAATTGGTATGGAGACTTTCTGGCAGATCCTGACCTGTCAGATGAAGTGCCCTAGTTTACTGAGAAAAGCCCCATCCTGGGCATTGGGGAACCCATGGAAAAATGAGATGAGGGCTCTGCCCTCACAGATACTTACATACAAGCTGTAGATAATAGACACATAAGAAGGTGAATTGGTAAACTCAAGGCAATAAATTATAAAAGTGAGGTGGACCACAGTGGTCTGTGGTGACTGGGGAGGGCTTTGTGGAGCAGAAGGGATTGAATTAGGCCCTGGATCAGTAGACTTTGAATAAGTAAGAAGGACAGGAAAGATATTCTTTTTTATTTTTTCTTTTTTAAATACAGTTTATTGAAATATAATTTATGTACAGTGAAATATACATGGACATGGGTCAGTGCTTTTTTTTTTTTTCCCCCCCTCCAGTGTTTCCTCCCCTCCCTTGTCACCCCTGGTAACCAACAAAGAAAGTTTCCTTCCATATATAAACCTTTCCTTGACTTTT